CTGCTGTGCTGCTTCAGGAGAGCAGGCTTCAGCTTGCAGCTCTGGAGGCAAGGGGAGCAGAGCAGCAGTTGGCCAGCTGCAGCCACATGAAGAACAGCCCCACCAGAAGTTGTGTGCTGGCCAGGACCAGGGCCTGAGCTGGGACCAGGGCTGGCAGATATGAGCAGGAGCACCGCATGGGCTGCTTTGGGCAGGGCTCAGCCCTGTGTAGAGCACTGTGGGAGGGCAGCTGCAGACTGGGTGAGCTCTGCTGTACATGCCCCCCTGTCTCCCACTCCCTCCCCTCACCCCCAGCTGGCTCCCAGACAACCTCCTTGCCCCCCTCCCTGCATGCACACACTTCCTCCACAAACCACCGTACATCCCCTGCCATGTCCCCCGGCAGGGTAGGGCATGCAGGGAGTGGATTGCCCACCAAAGCCCTATATGAAGTTTTGGAGAGTTGGTGGGGGTTGGGAAGGGAGGTGCTGATACGACCCACGATAGCTCAGTAAAACTCCCTATATGCCCCTTGGGGCCCAAATAATTGCCCACCCCTGTGCTAGAGAGTCTTGCCTCAGGGTTAGACTGATCTCCATGTTTGGGGTCAGGAAGGAATTTTACCTCATGGTCAGATTGTTACAGACTGGGGTTTTTGCCTGCTCTCTTCATTGGATCCTGTGAACATATATTAACTCTTTACAGCAGCAGAACACTGACTGCCATTGTCCCCCTGATTTACTTGTTGCAGGTTAGGGTGCTATGCCTTGTAGTTGTGCAACAGGGTTAATTTTGTGTAGTTTTAGTAATTGGTTAGACAAGGACTTGTATGGGATGGTTTGGAGTGGGATTATCTTGCCTCGGGCAAGGGGTTGGACTAGGTATGACTTGCAAAGGCCCCTTCTAGCTGTTTTTGATTCTCTGAATGGCCTGAACGTGGTGCCAAAAGAATGTGGCTGAAATTGGGCAAAACAGACAGGCAGTGAGCAGTCTTCCTGGTGATGAAGCTTTGCTATAGGATCCTAATTCTTACCTCTAACAGGATGGCTATTGTCCATTTTCCTGTTACAGCTGAGGCTCACAGTTGTGATGTTGTTTGAAATTGAGACGGGTATCAGCTAGGATTTGTTATTGTAAGTAGTATAATTTGTAAATTACATTACTTGGGATATGAAATTATTTTAGGTCTATAATGTTAAATTTTAAACTACCATGAACATTTTTCTGCTTTCTGCTATTAGAGAATTATAAGGCTTTTATCTGTTGTATAAAGCTCAACACAAGTTTGTGCCATTTAAAAGTAAAGTTTCACCTCCCTCATTTTTTTATTTTTTAGGACGTTTGTTGAGAGCAAATCAGATCACTTTCAACTGGGATAGACTAGCTAGTTGGATCAACCTTACAGAGCAGTGGCCATACAGAACATCTTGGCTGATACTGTATTTGGAAGAGACTGAAGGAGTTCCAGATCAACTGACTTTAAAAACCATTTATGAGAGGTAAGCATTGTTATAATAATGGCTTATATCAGTGGTTCCCAAACTTTTAGTATCAACAGACCACTGTCAGACCTCAAAATTTATTGCAGATCACCATTCACTCTTAGTTGTTAAATTTTTAATTGCAAGGGGGTAGCTATGATGTGAGCTATGGCCCACTCAGATCATGTTTTGGTGATCACTGGTATAAATTGTTAATGATTGCTCTTAACTGTTAACAAATGTTCACTTTTTATAACAGTGCTATGTTAAATTTCAACACTTCTTATCCCTTCTATGCTGAAAAGATTTCTTTTAACTATTGGCAAATGTGACTTTTTTGTGATGTTTGCTGTTAGTTAATGCAGGTACGCTGTAAACATATGGTATGTTCTTTTATCTACTGGTTGTTTTATTTCTTTTGGCTAGCACAGTCCTTTTTTCTCTTTAATGTACTTATCCCAATGAGCAAATTTGTGGTATATTCTAGTGATAATAACATTCTAAAAGGGAAGTAATATATAATTTGATAATATAACTTAAAAAAAAAAAAAATTCTGGGTGTCTATTTAAACCTTCCGGTGATTTTACTTTAAGTATGGCTGGTTAAGTCGTGTTAAAGCTACCAAAGTTTGTTTTATGGTATTCAACTTTTATTTTCTTATAACAATGCTAATTGATTGGGGGTCTTGACATATTAACAGTTATTATCAGTGTAATTTATATTGGTTTTGTATAATGACCAACTTTTCTGGGATAGGTAGATAACTACTCAGAGTTATTTTTCAACCAGTTAGCCAACTTATGAAACTGTCATCTTGTACAATATTGCAAAAGACTTACTACTTGTCCCTTCACAACTATCTGCTGTTGTGTTCCCTGCTTCTTTCCCAATCTGTTGCATACTGCTCACAGAGGCTGCCCATGCTACTTGTGGCATGCATGTTGTGTGTTGGCCTTTCCTGCTGTAAATTGAGGTGATTTTGCCCAGTGTAGTGGAGAGACAGATCTGAAAGAATAAAGATAAAACTGTACCAGCATAAGTTATCCTGATATAGGTTTTATCTGTGTCCATCCCAGAGTAGCTGTTAAGTAATGACAAAAAGGCTTTAATTTGCTCCTCTGCCACCTGTTAACAAGCCATGTGCTAGTTGCTTATGATACCCTGAGGTAGCTGCACATTTGCTTATTCCTGATCCTGGTGTAATTTATATCTATATACAGTAAAATCCCCGTTATCTGGCATTTGACTAACCAGAACACTCCATTAACTGGAATTTCTGTCAGGCTGGCTGGCCGCGGGCAGGGTGGAAAGCTCGCATGTGGTGGCCACCGCTGCTGCCCACCACCCTGCGCTGTAGCCACTCTGCCTGGCCCCTGCCACGCCCCCCCCCCAGCTCTGCATGCAGCCTGCTGCGCGTATGCGCCGCCCCCCCCCACCCAATACTTTGCGTCTGGCCAAAAACCACTGGCCTCAGGTAACCAGCATTTGTAGATACGTGGCACCCCCCATTCTTCACTCATGCCTGATAAGAGGGATTTTACAAAACAGATATTTGCCTGTCCATGTCTTAAATCTCATTGTGGTTGTTATATAGAATTCTGGTTTGTAAACTATTCTGTCTCATGTTCATTTGAGACTTGAGTTTTCAGCAATACAGAATCTGTTCCAGAGCTGAATGCAGTCAACACTCCTTCCCTGCCTCTCCATTATTTTGCTTGCATGAAGATGTCTTTATGCTTTAATACAGGAGTGGAGCTCAGCACCCCCCGCCTTGGAATGTATACTGGGGACTGGGGGTTGGGACAGGGCAGGCTCCAGCCTGGGGAAGGGAGAAGAGCAAGAAGTGCCAAAAGCCAGGGCAGCCACATGCCACATACAGTTCTTCAGAGGAGCAGCCAGGGGCCTGACAGAATCATTTGATGGGCCATGTTTTGCCTGCCCCTGCTTTTAATGCTTTAGAACAAAAGCAAGAATACCTTTGTCTTTATGTTGTATCATCTGGAAATGTTTTTCTTCCAAGGCATCTTTATCCTGATGTTGCACGCTTTCCTTTTTTTGTAAACATTTCTGAAGCTTCACTATTTGAGGGATGGAATTAACTATGGTGACTGTCTTCAGAGTTGCTTAATTATAACTTTTGTGTTAGATGTGTTTAGGTACAGGATTTCCACAGTCCCCACAGAGCATATTTTTTGTGCTGCTGTTACAGTTATTTAACCCCTAGCGCTATTGGAAAAGTAGTTGGAACTTATGAGTCACCTGGACTTCTGACAGGGGCAGATGTGCACTGCCCTCTTGTTAGCATGCAGTACAGTATTTATACCTGTAAAACAAATGCATGAGACACAAAGTCAAGAAGTGAAATAGAGTTACTATGATCATGTAGTCTGATATCATTTATTGTAGCTAAATAGTTTGTGCAAGTTCAGTATTATGATGATGGTAGTAAAACCTCTATTGTACATACAGCACCATTCATACTTTAGGGGTAAATTGCACCTACCTTAGTAGGATCCTTGGATCATTTGTCCTGTATCTATCAGACTAACCTTAAGAGTTATAGTTTCACTGTATCAAAGTGAATCAGTCTTATGGCATAAACCTTACATTTATGTCCTCTATGCCAGCAGATGGCACTAATACATTATCTTGGGAAAATATTTCTTATAGAGTTAATATATGCCCTGATGTTGTTGTCATCCATATTTCAGGGTACCCTATCTTTCCACAGAAATAATGTTTAATTTTTTCCTCACAGTGCATAATTGTTTAAAGTTTTATTATAAAGGATAAAAATGACTTTCACAACATATGTAATTAATTTCAAATAAACACAAACTACATAATGTTGTTTGATTGTTTGTCTTTGCATTTTAATTTAGGAAATGCTGTAATAAAAATGGCCTGTAAAATTGCTTGGTGAATTAAATCATCATATAGTATTTTTCCTACAGAAATCTTGTGTAGATGTCCCAAACTGGATACATAACTTAATATTCTGTTTTGTCCCTAATCTCTTTGTGTCTTGGTTTTTCTTCTGTTTCTCCTGTTTTTTCTCCTTGGATCCTCTCATAGTGTTATTGAGAGAGTGTATTTGTTAATGTTTGTCAATTGGTGTGCACATAAAAAGGGTATCTGGCCCCATACCAAATAATGAGGTTGAAACAAAATACTGGATAACTGCTTAATAACTGAACACAGTTATGTGGATTGAATAAGAAACTAGTCTTTGGAAAAAATAGTGTGGGAACATGTAATCAAGTATTGTATCAGAATGTCCTGCCATTAGAAAGCTTATTAATGTTGCATAGGCAACCTGAACTCTAGCATTTGTGAGCTTTTGAGTAGGCTTTGTATAGAGGCAAGGATTTCTTAGGGAGTTATCTTTTATTGGACCAAAATCCTTGCTTCTAGCATAATTTCTGGACTATTATGGCTATAGCATCACTCTTATACTACCATAACATGGAAAATATCAAAATCCTCCAGGCTTTATAAAGCAAGTATAAAGTAGGTCTTTAGGTGTCGTTTCTCATGGCTTTTTAAAAAACTAAGTAATAAAAAACTATATTTGACACCTACCTGGGTTACCTGTGTGTTTTGTATTTTTCTTGCTGCGGAAACCTCTGCCTTTAAACTGCTTCCTCCAAAGTATGGAGGCTTTGAGAGTCTTTTCAACTATACAGTTTTTAAAATATTTTCTTAACTTGGGGGGAAACAGTGTTTTAGTACATAATCTCATTCCCATAAATGGATGAACTGTTTTTTTTTAACGTTGAGAGAAAATATCAATCTGAAGCAAATACCTTACATGGAAAATTTCATCCCAGAGGGCTAACATTGGGCTAAGTTATAAGCACCTGGAAATAGTCGCTTAGAATAGGAAATGCCAGGTAACCTCATGTATAGATACTTTATTAGATTCCAGTTATTTGAATAGGTGTCTCCCCAACAGGCTTATCCAGTTAATTAGTGGATTATGCTAATCAATGGAAAGAACCTAAAAACAAAACAGAATACAGAAACTGGTAGCATGGCACTTCATTGCAAAAATTCCACCCCCCCACCCCTCAGCTTTAATTTTGGAACATGTACTTGAAACTGTGCAAACAACCACAAATGCAGTAAATACAGCAATAAACAATGGATAGTATAATATGGAAGATAATTCAGAAAAATGTATGGCCTCATGACGTCTGTTGTTTTTGTTTGAGAACAGCTTCCAGTTTTTTGTCAACAAAATCTTCTCTTTGATTAAAAAAACCCAAACAGCTGAAGTCTTCACAGAAGTGCTCTGCTATAAATTGGCAAAGTGTTTAAAACTTTTTGCATGTTACTGGATAACGCGGGTACTTATGTACTGTCGTCTTAGTATCCTCTGCGGTGGTACATGTGAGCTGCTTCTGAAGTATAGTTTCATCAGTTGGTGTCCCGTAATAGACCATGTTGCTGTCATAAGAAGTATATTGGATGCATTCATAGACATCAGGTTTCATAGACATCGGGGCTGGAAGGGACCTCGGAAGATCATTGAGTCCAGCCCCCCGCCCAAAGGGCAAGAAGTCAGCTGGGGTCATAGGATCCCAGCAAGATAAGCATCCAGTTTCATCTTGAAGGTGTTCAATGAAGGCGCTTGAACCACCTCCGGTGGCAGGCTGTTCCAGACCTTGGGGGCTCGGACAGTAAAGAAATTCTTCCTTATGTCCAGCCTGAAAAGATCTTGAAGTAGTTTGTGACCATTCGACCTCGTCATCCCTTGGGGCGCTCTGGTGAACAAACATCTGGGGTGACCCCAGATGCTGGTGGTCACCCCTGATAAACTTGTAGGTGGCCATCAGATCACCCCTGAGCCTGCGCTTTTTCAGGCTAAAGAGCCCCAGGGCTCTCAGCCTGTCATCGTAGAGTCTACTTCCCTGACCTCTGATCATGTGCGTGGCTCTTCTCTGGACTCTCTCAAGCTTCTCCACATCCTTTTTGAATTGTGGAGCCCAAAACTGGACACAGTACTCCAGCTGCG